CAGGGAACACCCGAGTTAACGGCCGCGGCGCGGCACGTCCCCGCAGTGCCACCGTCCAGCCCGCCCGTCGCCGCAAGGTCTGCTTTCCCCCCACGCCGCACACTAACACCCGGGGTTCGGCGGGGAGCGGTTGAGCGCGCCCGTCTTGACGCCCCGAGCGGCGTCAGTGGATTCCGGCAGCAAACACGTGCGCTGCCTGTGCCGGCGTGTGTTGAAACCCCTCTGCGCAACGAGAGCGTTCCGTAAACGAAACGATAATAACGAGGACTCTGCGGGTTTCTCTCTGATTAAAGTCCTTTGTGTGCTTACGCGCAAATGGCGTTCAGCCCTCCAGCTCCGGGTGCGTCGTCAGTGGGGCCTAGCGGACGGGAGCACGCCGGTGCTCGCCGCGGCCGGGCTGCGAGCGTGGCTGCAGAGCCGCTCTTCGCCACGGACCGTTCTGCAGGGACGCCCGCCCGCCGCCTCCAAACGCCCGCCAGGGCCAGGGAGCCCAGCACAGCAAGTGAGCCTGGGTTTTTTCTTTCCCTCTTGGGTGCAACCGGTGCCGTGGCAATTAATGTCTGGGAGAACTGCAGCCTCGCGAGTGACTTAGAAAAAGCAAATAAAAAATGAGGCTTCTGGCTAAAGGAGGTGTTCGCCCCATCCCTGGTGTCCTTCTGTCCTTCCAAGGAAAAGCTGCCAGGGCAGGACCTGGCGTTTGGCCGCCCCCAGTTTAACTGATGTGCTCCGATGTTTAACTGGCGGGCTCAGCTGCAGACGTTACACAGAGGTGCTGCATCTTGCAACGCTCCTTCCCTCTCAAAACCCCATGATTTTAGGCAGGGCTGGAAATGTCTGAGCTTCTCCTTCCCCTCCCGAGTAGGCGGAGGGAGCAGTCCTTCCCACCACAGCACCTCAGCTTTCGCTCTCCTGTTGCCTGTGATGCTCCTGTTTCTCTGCCTGGCCAGTCAGCTGAGAGCTGACTTTTCTCATATGCACAGCAGACAGCAAAGAAAATAATTTGAAAACACTCTCCCAGACCTTTATCCATCATAAAAAAAAGAAAAAAAAAGGCCTGCCTCCTATCTCCTCCTCTCACAGCAATTCACTTTAAGTAATTTCACCAGGTACATGCGGTGTTTGGAGGGGTTGTCTTAATGGTTTTCATCCTTGAGCAACCCATCCTGTCTTTCCTATTTTTCTCCAGTTGTCTCTAATATTTTGAAAACAGTTACACTCACAATAATAGGCAATTTTATCACAAAGATTCTAGGCATGAGAACTACTGAGTTAATTTGCTTCTGTTTATATCTGTATCTCCAAAATGAATGGATTGCACCATTTAATGAAAACGCTGTGTTCTGAAATTCAAGCCTTAAAATTATAAAGATGTTTCAGTGCTTTATATCCATCACTCTCTCACAGTCGTTTATACAAAAAAAACCACGTTTGCCTCCAGCTTTATTTATTTTACATTATGAAATAACAAAGATGTGTGCTGGGTTAAAACCGATCCTGAATGCTAATACATGAGAATTAAAAGGAGAGAATAATGATGGCCTAATGTCTACACTAAATTAATATATACTATAAAAGATATGATGCATACTGGGTTGGTGTTCCCAGCAGAGCCATTATTTTGGAATGGGCTAAACAAACAATGATCATCCTTTCACTGATGAGTGATGGTCTCCAGTCTGCTGCCTTCTCACCCACAGTATGTAAATGATGCTCCCTAGCTTTGATCCAGGGACACAAAACATTTGCTTAGGCACTAAAGAAATGAAAATTGCCCCGAACCAGATAAAAGTAGGACAGAACAGAGCTGATAAGGTTTTACAGCATGGGCAAGTTTCGACTGCTGGCACAGCAACTGGTTTAAGTTAAGAGGTGAAGCAAAAATACCGAGCGCCTAGTGATGCCAGTGGAAAAAAAATCTCTGCCTTCTTCCTGGCACGCGGTATCCCCCCAGTCCCCAAACACACGGTCTTTATTCCCGCTCCTCACACACCAGCCTTGTCCTCCGCTGATACAGGGGGTGCCCCCACCTCCATGTGTGCGTGCATGGCTGTGCCCGGACGAGCACACGGGTATGGCCAGTGCTCCTCTTCTCTCCCGCCTACGAGCATCCTCTCCCGCTGGCTGGTCCCTTTGGCCCCCCCACCCCGGCAGCAGCTGCCCCCCCAGCACAGCCTCCCCCAGTGCCTCCAGTCCCAGCCCCTTCCTGCTGCTGCGGATGCAACAGCAGGGTCAAGCTGAGCTGGTGCAGGATCTGATCTTGGACTGACCCCCCCTTACTTACACATGGAAAGCGGTCAGAGAGGCGTGGGTTTGTGTGCAAAGGCACCAGGTATTTGCCCAGAGACAGATCAATACAACGCCTTGTGCCTCAAGCCCTAAATTGATTTTTTGCAGCTTCAGGAAACTATTGTTAGCTCTTTGTGCGGGACTGATCATCACATCCCTGTATATTTTCTGAAGACCTTTGTTTCCACAGCATCTGAATTTCACCTCTGCATTTGGCTGGCAAACAGTGACTGCTTGGCCCTAACAAAAGAAAACACACATCAGCTTTGAGGTAAGCGGGCTGTCAGTGTGTAAAATTGAGCTTTATTAGGCATTAATGCCTCCAGCTTATTGAAAGGATCAAGGTTTCATGTCAGTTCAACCAGAGCAGCTCGAGCGCCGCTGCTGCAGCAGGCAGCTGTGAACCCCCTGGGCAGAGAGGCAGGACTGGGCTGGGGTAACCCCGACTGCTGGGGCACCCGCAGCTGCTGGGAGGATGAGGTCTTCTTCAAATCAGAGGGGAAACTATATTTGCACAATAGCGCAATTAGAATAACTTGATTAAAAGAAATGCAAACGAGCCATTAACTTTGCTTTGCTAAATCTCCTTGTAACGTGATTCTTCTTAGAGTACCTGTGCAGGAAGGGGGAGAAGATAAATGAATCACTACAGAAAAGCCTCTCGTGTCATGAAAATAGCATATTTATTAAAATAACAAACACAACCATTACCAGCCCAACTGCTGCAGCTGTCTTTTATGGAATTGTCTCTCCCAGCTGGAGCGGCTGATGGCTGAACAGGTTTGTGGCCAGAGCATTCAAAACCACTCTTCCCATTGTGGGTCCTCAACGTCACGGAGCGGATGCTCCAGCCTTGTCCTCCACTGCCCCAGCAGGACCGCTCCCCCCCACCACTTCCGTAAGACACGTGCAAACCCAGTATTTTGATAGTTTTACTTCTCTGTTGAGGCTGGGTAAAACTGGATTATGGAGCCAGAAGATATCACTGGGGGACAGACAGCCAGACAGCATGAAGACACCACCCTGTTCCCTGAAGAAACAGGACTTAGAAAGAGTGGAAAAGCACAGAGCAATGAGACGATCATTGCACAGGAGGAGACGCAGGGCCGAGAGCGAGGAAGCAGCCAGCAAAGGACCAAAGAAATGCTGTGGTGGGAGAGGGACAGAAACTCTGCTAGCACCTCACAGAATAAGGCCCTTATCTAGAAAAAAGAGTATGCAAATGAGCAAAGGCATGGAGCAGCAGGGTGATGAGTAAAACTAATTAGAAAATGAAGCTTGATTATTCATGGACTTGACAGAGAGCAGCTAATCAAAGGAATAATACAAGTTTGCATATTCTTTGTGATGTGGGCATCAAAGCCTTGCTTCTTGTCACTATGGCATCACCGCTGCTCATTCCTAAAACCAGGCACACTTGATGCAAGCGTGACGTCTCGCTCTGGATCACGCGATGGGTCTTGGAGAGCCTGAGGTGTCCAAAAGCACCTCTGTTTTTTCCAGCTGTTGAACTGAACTAGCAGTTATCTCTACCTGTAGATCTTGCCTTCCTGAATACAAACATTGCCCAAAGCACTTTGGGTGTGTGGGAAACTGGGCAGCCTTTAAAAGCTTGAGACAAAGACCTGGAAACTCAGGGAACCCACCGTGCAAGATAATTGCAAGAGATTGCAAGATAATCCCTTATGGTTTCATTTTGCTGCTGACTGATCGCTAAATAAACTTTGTAGAACTCACACGTGGGAAGATGAACTTGGTGGGAGGTATTTGCACAGTACTTGCTGGGTGCAGGAAGCTTTCAGAAGTACCTTCTTCCCAACACACAGCATCAGAAACCATCCATTAGAGCAAACCTTGGATTTTCACCATCAGTTGGAGCCAGACAAAAGGCAGGCTAGCTTTCAAGTTACAAGGTACCAGTAGCATTTCCATTTCGCAAATAGATCTCGGTCCTGTGAAAGCTTTTACAGGAGGACCTGATGTGGGGCTGGCTTCTGGACATGTACCAAGCTTCTGGGCAACAGTCAGAGAGTGAATAAATGATACTGTCCCATCACCACTGATTCTTATCCCAGCATGAAATTGGCTGAGAAACTGCTGAAACATCAAATTCTCTTTTGATGAGGGCAGCCTGGGACAACTCCAGGGAACAGCATCCATGGGGATGAAAGGGCTCTTTCAAGTATGCCTCTGAATCAGTGGGAAAAGCAAGAAGTTGGGACCGCTCTTGCCACTGTTTGCTTGTCTGAATAATTACATTGATGGGTATATTAATACCATCTGGCGTTAGAGCCAAAGAGCAACCAGGCATTGAAGAGATTACTGGTGAGGTGTGTGAAGCACCCTTTTGGAGGTGCTTATGAGCAGATTAGGAGGAATTAGAAAGGGTGCGAGCCAGCAAAGCCCAGGGCTGCAGGCCAGATGGTCCAAGGGACATTTGGTGCCCACTTCCAAGGTATATAATGCAAACCTGGTGTATCTGACCTACTTCATAACAAAACCTGCAGCATTTGCCCGATTAAGGTAGGTAAGAGACTAACTCGGATAATGTAGAGTGGACTTCAGCAGTGGTTTCATGCTGGAGAGAAAGGTTGTGAAAGGACACGTACAATATTTGTTGCATGTTCCTAAACCCAAGGGGGAAATCATTTCACATGGCCCTGAAAGGAACAGTGGGAAAAGACACAGTATTACCTAATGCTAC